GGAATAAGAAGTAAATTTGCCTGGAATATTCCTTCCGCACATACACAGACACTAAACAGGGTGGCTGTGCCCACGGTTGGTGCCCAAATAGAATGTGAGTTCCCATCCAACTATCTTCCTTTAAGATACAAACAACAGGCATATGTAAAAAATTATGAAGTCAATTCTTTGGGGCTAGTAAAAATATTTTGCCTCAAATAGTTCTGTGCTTTTCTTATAAGAAAGAGGTTATCATCTCGCTTTATAATCAGAATCTAAGTGATAACGTATTCATTTTTTCCAAACCAAGGTCATGACTGGTAGTAAATTAGATATTTCAGGAAACACACTTACACTTTTAAGTCACTGACTGACTAGAGTGCCATTTACCTCCTGAGTAAGAATACACCAAATAGCCTCTTCACCACTGAAATAAATGTGATGAGTTTTGAAACACCTAAGCATGACTCAGGCAGCAGTCAATTTGACTGAATAAAAACACTTGTACAAAAATAATAAACAAGCCAAGTACTATCTTCCACTAATAGAGAGTCATCGCTTGTCTGGGCAGAATCTTTTCTTGGGAAAGAGACTATTCCATGTAGTCCAATGAAGCCATCAATCATGGCTGACCATGCCCCACAAATATAAGTGAGGAGACCCTGGCTAGCCACTTCAAGTGCTCCATTACCCTAGCCACCATGATTGGCTCAAAAATGGGGACATGCAGATCCAACCAGAAGCTTTCACATGATATCACCAAGTTAAATCCTTTCCCACAAACTACAGCTATGCAAAATTAGAACTGTTGACAGTCTTCTTTCCCAGCTACCACAGCTTCTTGGCCCAGATGACTAATGTGAACAGTTGAAAGCATTTCCTTTCAATTTAGTAACATGTATATGTGTTTTGTTTATTTTTAGTTTAGATCACTTTCTGTAAATTCATTGTATCCTGCTCTCCTTATTAGCATTAATTTATAATTTCTAATATAATGAACTATCGATATACATATCAAGATAGAACTCTTAAAAGCTCCATAATATTTCATGTGAGTTCCTTACTCCTTGAAATGTTTTCCCCTCTTGGCTTCCAAAATACTACCTTCTCTGCTTTTTTCTCCATCATCATCCCCATCCCAGTCTCCTTTGTGGGTTCTACCTCATCTCCTCTAAACATTGAGGAATCTCTGGATTCATTCTGAAGATATCTTCTTCTTCTCCTCAAATACTTATGAAATTGCATTCTAGCTCATGACTTTACTACCTACTATGTAATGGCAATTTTCTAATTTATATCTGTAACCTGTACCTCTATGCTCTACTTCAGACACTAATAGTCAATTTTCCCATTCATTTATCATAAGACAGCTCAAGTTTAGGATCTCCAAAATTAATCAGAAACTCACCCAAAACTTGCTTCCCATAAAGACTTCACCATTTAAGAACAACTCCTCCCATATACATGCTCCTACTGAAAACCTGAGATTCATCCTTTTACATGTCTTATCATATCCCTCTCCATCAGCAAGTTCTGTTGACTCAAAACTTCAAAACATAAAATCTCTTTCTCACAAATCTACTGCAACTACTCTAGTTCAGTCACTACCACCTCTCACCTAAAACCAATGTTAAGCCATTTTCAGAAACTGGCATAAGCCTGCCCAAGTCATCAAAATGGCTTTTGAGTAAATGAACACATCCTTCTGTTTGTTTTCACTTTCTCCATAATACTTAACACTTGCATAGGCTATATAATCTACGTTTTCACATCCTCACAGAACTCATCCCACTCACTACCATGTTACTATTTTTCATTTTAATATTGTCAGTGAAACTGATCTTATCAAGGTCACCAACAAACCCATGCTGTCAAGTCAAATGGAATCATAACAGATATCTCAATATCAGATTTCTCAACTCGTGTTTTTCTCGAAACATTTCTCTGTTGGGTTCTGTAACATCAGACTCTCTTGGTTGTTTTACCATCTAAATGGCTCTAAATTTGAGAAACCAAATTTTTAACTGGAAAAAATTTCAAGCAAGGGCTAACCATACAATGAAACTATTTAAAAATCAACGTTTAAATTTAAGCAATCATTTTCTGGTGAACACTTTACGATGGGAAAATAGGCCCTATAGAAGCTGCAGTTAATTATTGAAGCAATTCTGTCCAAAATAAATTTTAATGTGGAGTTTAAAGTTGACTTAAAATTCCCGATGGCAATAATTAGATAATAAAGTTAGCTGAGTATAGTACTCTAATAAGTTTATGACAAGAAAGCTTGTATCAACATAGACCTATTTTCAACATAGACACACAGTTGCCACAGAGGAGGAAAAAAGTGCGTGACTTAGTTGGTGTGTTCTAGGAAGCCAAATCTAAGACAGCCATGTATGAAGGAGATTTATTGGTAAAAGCTTCAGATCAGTGATTGCAGGAGCACTAAGGAAACAAGAAGGATAGGCAGGGAGAGGAGTTTAACTGCACTATAGTCACAACAAAGACCTCAGGCCATTGTTACAAGAGGGAAAGGGAAAAGAGGTGCAAGAAATGAGTAGAAGGAGCCATTTTGATAATGTGAGTGGTATTAAAACTTTGGTGATGGGTGCAGAGAGGCATATGCTCTAAAGAGGCAGATGCTCTAAAGCTAGACTTCCAAAGTGTATATAGCTTGGTAATATTGTAATGCCATGGTAAATCAGTGACATTTTATTTTAAAAGCATATAGTGTTCCAGCATACATAGACTTAATTTCCAAGTCAATCCGCTGGTTTTACTATTCCCTATTGGTACATGACGAAACTAAAACAGAGAGGTTAAGTAACTTAATCAAGGCCACACAGCAGGTGGGAATAGGATTCGCAGAGGACAAAACTTGGAAATTGAGCTTTGAGGGCAGAGTAGATGGACTTTTGCCAGAGGGGAACAAAGAAAGGGGTTGATGAGAATATTCTAGTCACAGGGATCTGCAGCACAAATTCTTAAAAACGATCAGAAACTTCAAGTTCATCTGCAAATAAGTTACATGTAGGGGAGTAACTAGAGTCCAGGCCTGGCAGCAGCAGGAACAATGTACCCTATAAGGGACAGACTAGAGGAACGTAGGCAAAACCACTTGGAGTGATTGACATCAGTTCTGTTTTTGATAATAGTGAGAATATTTTTTAAAAATAAAATAACTAGTGGCCCTCCCTGGTGGCACAACGGGTTAAAGCACAGCACTGAGAATCTAAAAGCCGCTTCCGCATGAGTTCGATCCCCGCCTGCCCCGGAGGTGACCACATGGCGTGGCAGACCTCTCCTGACCCGCCCACTGCTCCCCTCAGCAGTGTACTTCGTCGATCTGCCTGTTCTGCTCCCCACTCTGTCTCTGGTGACGCTTCTCACCGCCCCTGGGCCTCTGGCTGTACCCCAGTTCTGTATGCATAAATAAATCTTTAAAAAATAATAATAATAAAATAAAATAAAATAACTAGCATTTGTTGAGAGCACCCTATTGGTCAGGCAAGGGACTAAATATTTTCATGCGTTATCTTATTTTAGCTTCCTAACATTACCAGGAGGTATTATTGCTATCCTATTTAACAAATGACAATATGTAACCTTAGAAGGATGACTAAGTTGTCCAGAATTCTATTGTTTCTGAGTTATGGAACGATGGTTCAAAACTAAAGAGCTATGACCCCAGAGCAATCAGCTACCCGCTCTGTTGCAGGTGGGGGCCACCATCCTCCTCCATGCAGGGGTGCAAAAAAATCAGAGGATGGCAGAAGGACCAGTGAGAGGTAACTCATGTGCGTGCATCCTGGACCTTAATAAGCTTGAGCTGCGGGCTGAGAAAAAGAACTGAGCTGTGTGCACACGTGCACACACTCACAGGACACTGGAGAACAAAGGAGAGTTGTAGCAGTGGGATATGTGAAGAGAAGGTGACTGCCTTAAGATGGGTGATTCCAAGGAGACAGGAGGACAGAAGCACCAGGAGGTGCACAGGGCAATGGAGTGAGAACACACGGAGGTCAAAGTCACCAGACTACACACAGGAAAGTCCAGGGAACAGCTGAACCTTTTAGGTGTAGTATCAAGGAATGTAAATTGCTATAAAAGTATAATTTGGTCACAAAAAAAAAAAAAACATGTTGAAAATATGAGGGTGGTCAGATTTTTTCCAGGGGAAAATGTGAGTGAAGATGATGTAGAGAAGCTGGAAAATCACAACTATTCAGAAGAGTTCATTTTCCCATTGGTAAAAATGTGTGTGTGTAAACAGATATGCAAACGCCTTCTTTAGAAACCTGAGAAGGGGTCCTGCAAAAGGAAGGCTGGCTGTCTTCCAGTATTTATATCTGAGAAAAGGACGTTATTCTCATCCACTTAAGAGGTTTTGGATTATTTCTAGGTGTTCTATTAGCAAATAAACTAGTTGAATTGTGTAGGTCCTTCATAATAAAAATAGTATTTTAAAAATAAAAATAAACTATCGATCTGATCGCCAAAATCTGCTTGCACACTTCGGACCCAGTTGGCCCAGCAGTTCCTCTTCAGTCACAAGCACGGACTCCGATGGAAGCGCCCTGCTCACAGCACACTCAGGATATACCATTTTCTAGCCTGGTTGATGTTATTTCCTCACCCTTCACCCTAAAAAAGATCACAGTGCGGCTTACCTGTCTTAAGGATCTGATCAAAATCTGATTTTTTCCAGTTTCTCTCCTTTAAAAACAAAGGAAAACTTACCAATGTAACTAAAAGGAAAAAGGAAAAAAGGGGCTGTTTTGTCCTCCCTCGCTAGCTGTTGCTACCTTGCCGTTTGTGACACTCAGACAGAGCGAGAGCTGATGAAGTGAGTGAGCAGGCAGCCTGCGAACTGGTCCATTCCCGTGGAAACCACGAGGCCCCGTGGGGCGGCTCTCCCTACTTTCCGGTGTGATTTCTTTTGTGCGAGTTCCAGAGGGGCTGGTGAGTGATTTCTAAATGTGCGTGTCCTCGCGGAGGGGAGCCGCGCAGGGAGGGAGTCGCCCCGCGGAGTGGGGGCAGAGGAAGCTAACAACGACCACGCTGGGCTGGGACTGGCTGAACACTTGCATGCAGTTTCTGAAGTCAGCAAAACAGAAATCAAATTACTACCATATTATGCGGGTGGAAGCTCAAGGAGAAGGGACTTTACATCAGCCTAATTACTGTGAGAGATGGAACGAGACAGAACAGCAAAGTGTGTCTGACGTGTGGCTGCTGAAGACCAATGTAAGTTCTCTTGTTCTCATGCTGCTGTATTTTACTGCTGTGTAATTTTCTTTCTGGCTTGAGATCATTCTTGGACAAAATGCAATCATGTCGGTGAGAATTTCTAGTGTGGAAAGTTGGCTGCTAAGCTTTACTTAAGACTTCTTTTTCTTTTATTAACCAAGCAACATAAAACAAGCTGAAATTCCTGGCAGCAGCTGTGGCTATTCAGCCTAAGATTGACTGAGAGCTATAACCCAAGGTACATCCAATAACTATGGGATTAACATTGGGTGTATTTTTAATTGACTTTCTTAATGTAGAATGCATTCAGCCCCACTGTTTTTGGATAGCATGCTGTTTTAATCCTGGTGTAGCTAAGGCAGAGATCAGCCTAACCACCAGAAGGAGAGACAGCTAACACAGATTCCTGGTAGTTACAAAACTTTTCTTTTTTGGCCAGGATCACATTTTTCTTCCCTGAATACTCAAAACTCTGCAACCTCTATGCTAGAAGTTCATTTGGCTTTTTTGACCTTACTTTGGAGAAAACAATGAAATCAAACAGTGGACTCTACTAAAATTGCAAATCAAGAAATACAAAGAGCCTTTGCACTTCATTAATGACTATTGTAATAATGGGAGGAAAAAAGCCAACCCGAGGACCCCCGCAGGGACACCAGTTTCGATGTGATAGTGTGGAGACATAAAGATGGGTGGCAAGCAGAGCCTGTAAGTCAGTAGTTTTTCTACACTTCAACTGCTACAAGTTCCGACTTAGAAATGGATATTCTTTGTGAAGAAAACACTTCTTTGAGTTCAATGACAAACTACTTAATGCAATTAAATGACAACAGGAGGCTCTACAATGACTTGAATGCTGGAGAAGCTAACACTTCGGATGCATTTAACTGGACAGTGGACTCGGAAAATCGAACAAACCTTTCCTGTGAGGGTTGCCACTCACCACCATGCTTCTCCTTACTTCATCTCCAGGAAAAAAACTGGTCTGCTTTGTTGACAGCTGTAGTGATTATTCTAACCATTGCCGGAAACATACTCGTCATCATGGCAGTGTCCCTAGAGAAAAAGCTGCAGAACGCCACCAACTATTTCCTGATGTCACTTGCCATAGCTGATATGCTGCTGGGTTTCCTTGTCATGCCTGTGTCCATGTTAACCATCCTATATGGTGAGTGGTGTGAGCTCCTGTGTTGTACACACGGGTAATAAAAAGCATGTGCATGCCATTAGCAGGTGAACTGGGGTTTGGGGACAAAGTAAAAACAGGGTCTATTAACTTACACAACTTCAATTTTACTCTCAAAATGGGCTTTTATATATGGGGGGGAAGCAGGCACCCTATTATCTGTGATCACTGGAGAGTGCTGTGCTTTGAAATATACTTTTTATGCAGAAATTACAATAAATGCCCCTGGTACTATCATAAAGTAATTCTTGCCTGTCATGCTGAATTTAGTTGCTTTTTGCTTCTTTAAATTCCCAACCAAATATTCCATCCTTCAAGACAGAACAGTATCATCTTTGTCACACAGTTTTCAGCACTTCCAATAGAGTGGTAAAACCTTCCCAATTACCTTGGAACATTGGCAGAGAGAAAATTGGTGCAGTGGGCTTAATGTTAAAATATGCAGTCTCCATTAGAATAAATGAATTACTCTGGTTTTAATTGTTCCCTGCTTAGAGAAGCTAATTTGCAAGTGTGCCTTTGCATCATACCCTCAGCTCTTTAAAAATGCATATGCATAAACACCTCCAGTCTGGTTTGGAGGAGGGTGGGAAAAGAATGGGAAGAGATTAATCTTGCTTTCTTCTCAACAGAGTTTGAGACAGTCAGGTCTCTAGGCAAGTCAGCAAATACTAGGACAACTTCAGAGAGAGCAGAAATGTGATATCCTTTCCAAATTATTAGTAATACAACCAGATTTCTTCTTAAAAAGAGAATTTTGAGGCTGCTGACACAGACACTTCCATAGTGACAGGGATTAGAAACAAGTCAAAAGTGCCATTTTTAAGAGGGGATTTTTTGGTCAAGTCTGACGGTTTAAAAAAAAAAATACATTAAATGCACCCAGCCCTGAAAAATGGGAAGGAGGGAGGGAGGGAAAAAAAGAGGGATTGCACAGGGTGTTAGTATACATTGCAAGGATAACAATGCGAGCTACCGCTTGACCACACAAATGTCACAGCAGGATGATTTCCTTAAATTTGCCTGTGGTTTCCCAGACATTCTGGAGAGGTTAAAACCCCACCCCTCTCAAAAGCAGACTCCAGTGGGTTGGGGAGAAGGGTTACAAGGTGGATGTGTGTTTGGGGGGAGGGGGCTATTCAGCGGGTTAGTCTGGGAACCAAAAACAACTCTGGAGGGTGGGAGCAGGGGTGACCCCAACAGCGATTGGGGGGCAGACAACTATCAAACCATGTCACATGCTTAGGAACCTCCCCACTTGGGGTGCAACCACGCCCCCTTGTGGCAGCTGCCACTTATGCAGCCAGTTCCAGCCTTCGCTGTTGTGGTTCTCCCTGCCTGCTCAGTACTAAGAAATGCTGCCTTTCAGTATCCCGCTGCCGGAAATGCAGACTATGACCCACCACTGCCTCTTTGCAGAGAAAATTCCCTAAAGGACCAACATCAATTCTGACCAGACCATGCATGACTTCCCCCGAGGCGTTGCTAAGGAAAAGCTGCTCATTTTAGCTCAAGTTCTTTGTAAATAATCAGTGTGAACCGCGCTAAACAGGCTTGTGTCTTGATCGTCTTGATCACTTTACTTTCCAAAATATTCGCGGTGACTCTCTGTGGAGAGAATGTTTGAGTTTGGAAAGGATTGAGTTTTGTATATCTGGAATGTTATTAAGGAAAGGTAGTCTTTCTGATTTTTCTTAGATACACACATATCTATCATTGAACCGTACTGTTACCCAAAACAATTTAGGTTTATGTGACAGATGAATCCTCCTCTAGAACAGACAGACTTGGGACACTCTGCTTAGGTCTAAGAGGCATATTCTGTCTTGCTCACAGAACAGGTGGCCTCCTGCAGTGCTCTTTATACTGGCATCATCTAGGGAGATTTAAATACTTTCTTGTTGAGAGCCCACCTTGCCTTCCTGGCTTCAGGCCCTAGGGGAAGCTCTCAGCCGGTGCAGTCAACTGCCCTAAACAAAGTCACCCGAGAGCAGTTGGCAGGTCTGCACCACCTTGGAAACTTGTTCTAAAGACTCAAAATCCTGCACCAGGGGTCTCTGCAGTAGCTGCCTTATAAGACACCACCTAGAGCGCCTACCCTGAAGCAATTCTCACTGCAAAACACCTTGGTGGTCTTCATTTTCTCTCTCAAGTCCCAAATTTGAGTTTAATGCTCAGATTATTATTATGAAATTTTTCATTTTATGCCTAAAGATAATCCTAGTCGGATTTTTAAATTCATTTATTTATTAACACCAATAGAAGTTATTGACATAACACTGTGAAACTGTAGTGTGTTATAATAATGACTAAACAATGGCCCTAATCTCAGGAACCTATAGTAGATGAAAGATATGTTAATAATGATAGCACACCGTCAGAGGGGCATAAAATACATCCTAACTTCTGAGCAAAAAAAAAACAACTAAATAGAGACAACTGAGAAATTTTCAAACCTTGTGTTCATCAGTCAGTGCAGTCTTACTGGGGCCAAGCATAGTTGCTATTTCACCCTTTGAGGTATTGAAAATAGCCTGCGTTGGTTTTTCTCACATTCTATGCCTTTTTCCGGGATGGAAATTGTATAGCAATTTCCTCACACCAGACAAGGTCCAAAGCCTTATAGAATCCTCACACCAGACAAGGTCCAGAGACTGAGTCTGATGCTAAGTTTCTGCACCTTAGGATACCGGTGGCCTCTGCCCAGCAAGCTCTGTGCCGTCTGGATCTACCTGGACGTGCTCTTCTCCACAGCCTCCATCATGCACCTCTGTGCCATCTCCCTGGACCGCTACGTGGCCATCCAGAACCCCATCCATCACAGCCGATTCAACTCCAGAACTAAGGCATTTCTGAAAATAATTGCTGTCTGGACCATATCAGTAGGTAAGTGAGAGCAAATATTTCAGAGACTCATCTGAAATGACAGCTTTTACCTTCCATGGTATGTTTTGTTCCATTTTATTGCACTGAAACCTGATATCCTAAATTTATTGTATTGTGTTATTAGATCTGTTATGACATTGTAATGACCAGGTTAGATTTGGGAAAGAAAAAGCTGCTAATGTGCCACTAATGTCAGGGACTGTCCAAAATATGTATCACTTCACACAGGTAATATTGTATATATCAGCAACAGCAAAACTGGGCACAAGCACAGCAGCCACTTCCAAACATTATTTCTTCATCTCATACTTTCAAATTCTACTCTAAATCCTAGTGCTCTATGTCCTAGAGACCTGAACATTTATAATCACTGGGCTTATGGCTGATGTAAGGCCATAGACGCATACACAAGCTTAGAGGAGAACACAGACTTCTGAGGTCTAGAGAAAGTAGCAGGAGTTGTCAGCCAGAGGGGGGAGGGGCAGCACTTGCTCAGGGCCAGTCTGTCACCCTGGTGTTGAGACAGGGCACACCAGAGGGCTTCAGCCTGCCTCCCTTAGGTTGATGATGCATATTCACTCACCTCTTGCCAATACTGATCTTCTGTCATGCACATAGCAGTCAGAAAAGCTCAGGTATTAGAAACACTCACATAGCAGTCAGAAAAGCTCAGGCTAAGCCAACTGTACCTGTCACCTCTGCAGGCTCAGTTTATAACCAAGTAGTCCCAGAGATTTATTTTAAAGTTACCAAGTTTTTCAAGCAGAAATGCTTCATCTGTTTACTGCCACATGGGTGCCAATATCTACTAATTTGAGAGACGGAATCTGATGGCAGTCTTGAAACCAAGGAGAGTGAGTCTACCCACATCCTTGTAAAAATAAAAATACAAAATCAGGCCCTCCCTGGTGGCACAGCGGGTTAAAGCACTGCACTAGGAAGCTTAGGCCGCTTCCGCATGAGTTCGATCCCCACCTGCCCGGGAGGTGACCACATGGCGAGGCAGACCTCTCCTGGCCTGCCCACTGTTCCCCTGAGCAGTGTAGTTCATCGATCTGCCTGTTCTGCTCCCCACTCTGTCCCTGGTGAATTCTCTCACCCTCTGCATCTCTGGCCTGTACCCCAGTTCTGTATGAATAAATAAATAAATCTTAAAAATACAAAATCATTGTATAAGTAATAGCCCAGCAAAAGAGCTAATCGCTTCTGCTTTTTATTCAGCTCCTCTTGTTTACCTTGCTGTTGAAACAAGTCTGTTCTAGAAAAGGAAATGGGTTTAGAAAGTATAAGGAATGAGAGCTAAAAAAGTTTTCATAGGGCCCTCCCTGGTGGCACAATGGGTTAAGCGCAGCACTATGAAGCTAGCTGCAGCCTCTTTAGCTGGAGTTCATTCCCAGGCCAGGAAGGTGACCACATGGTGCCACAGACCTCTTCTGGCCCCACCGCTGCTCTGCTCAGCAGTGTGCTTCATCGATCTGCCTGCTCTGCTCCCTGCTCTGTCTCTGGTGAATCCTCTCACCACCTATGTCCTGTACACCTGTTCCGTATTCATGGATAAGTAAATCTTTAAAAAAAAAAAAAAAAAGTTCATAGCTCACTGGTTGCCTCTTCAACCAGTGGCAGTGTTAGCTTTCTGGACTTTGTCAGCAGACCTGTTCTTGATGTTGACTGTATCACCTTCCTTAGGAAACAGTTTTTCACCCCTGCCTGTATTTACCATAATTCACATCATCAGTTTTAGTTTTCACATTTTGTTTTTTTGCCATTTTTCTTTGTAGCCATTTACCTTTTCCGCATTTCATATATTTGCTGATTTGTACAATGTCTTTATTACCTTCACCACATCCCAATTAGTCTGACTTTCTTCTTGCCCTTGTTATTCCCTCATGATTATTGTCCCATTCCAGGTGTCATTATTTTACTGGTAGTTTAGTAACATCTAAGTTAATAATTCTACTCAGTGGTTTCATTTCCTCATTCACCCTGAAATCCAACTCATAGTTTTGTTTGTTTTTTTTTTCATAATTTTGAAATAACATAGTAGAATAATACATATTTTTAAACCAGTCAAAAATTCAGAAACCCTAGTGAGAAATACAGATAATTGATTACATAAAATATTTGGCATTTTATTTGGATAAAAATCAAGACAAGATCAAAAGAAAACTATTTCAATGTAAATGAATAACAGACCAAGAGTTGATATCATTAAAAAGGCAACTACAATCTCACAAAGACAAAAAAATAACAATCCAATAAGGAAAGAACTATATGAACATGCATTTCACAGAAATAGAATTTGGAATTGGCAATAAAGCTCATGAATATATGTTCAGCCTCTAACAGTCATGGATATGTAGTTTAAAACAATGATACATATCATTTTTCACCCATATGAAAAATTAAAATGAGTAAAAGCCCATAGGAAAAATTAAAATGAGTGAAAACCCATAGGAAAAATTAAAATGAATGAAAGCATCCAATGTAGCTTTGGATAATATGCCATATATATATATTCTCGTGTCTTGTAAATGTGAATATGGATTGTTGGACAATCTCAGAAAATTTATTAAAATTCAACCTATTAATCCTCCTTGAGAGAATCTTTTTACAGAATAATTTAGGTATGTATAAGAATCTTTGCTAGAGCAATTTTGGAGAATAGCCAAAAAGTAGAAGATTGGGTTAGGGTTGAATACATCATTTGTATCTAAATTACAGAGTATTTTACAACTCTTAACTATTGAAATGGATTTGATATTCAACTTGAGAAATGTCCATGACATTTTAAGTTCACAAGAGTGAGTTTCATGGATGTATGCACGGTCTCTATTGTCTTAATTTTTCCTGTTTTTTTAAATTATTTTTAAACACTTGAGACAGCACTATAAATGTGCAGTTTTCTCACTATTTCTTGATATTGATGTTATTACTGTTTCTTATTTCTGAAAAACTTTTAGATTTTTTTTCTTTTACTTTTAGGTATTTTAGACATGTTGGCCTTTGTTTATTTTTGCTCAGAATTAAAATTTGGCCGTTACTTTTTTTTCATGAATATAAAACTGCCATTTTAAATTTCCTAACTATCAAACTTAGAGTTCTTTAGAAAGCACTCTTAGTATATCTTGCTACTTTAAGAGTTTTTTTACTTTGTCTGTGTATTTTAGAAATTTAACTGTAATGTTAAATTTCATTAGGTGTGGGTGAAGTTTCATTTTTACCCTGAATGGTGTTTTCTGTTGATTCACAAATTTGTGGTTCATGCCTTTTGTAGGTTTAGAAAAACTCTTGGCTATCTTTTCGAATAGAGTTTTTGCCTTATCTTCCCTACTACCACCATCACCCACTACCTTCTTCCTGGGCTCCAGTTCCATGTATGATAGGCCCTTGTTTCTTATTGCTCAGATATTTTTCTTTATTTCCACTTTTTTCTTAACCTTCTTACTTTAACCTGCATCTGACTTTGTTCCTGAATTATTAATATTCTTATCAGGCTGGAGGTTGCTGCTAAACTCATCTTTTATATTCTATATTACAGTTACTGTATTGTTAATTCTAGAATTTCCACTTGATTTCATTTATAGATTCTAGGTTGTTTTTTTTTTTTTTTTTGCAGTAAACCTTCATGACTTTATCTGTTTTCTTAAACATTAGTTGCAGGTATTGGATAACTGGATTACCTGGGGATTTCTATTTTCTGGGAATTTTTTTTCAACTTAGTTGAGTTATTTAGTTTACTAAGAAATTTTTTAGAGACTCTTGATTTTTTTTCTCCAGAGATGGGTCCTTCAGCAAACAAGTACATGTTCTGTAACCCAAAGAATGACCATCCTTTAGGCTAAGTTTTGTTAACACTACCTGTTTTAGTTCACCCTAACATTTAAGGAATATTCCTCAATGGTCCTTGATACAAGTCTGACATGTTCTCTATTTTTGATAATTTTAAAGCCCGAATTTTGTTTTTTTTTTTTTTTTT